TTCCAGGGGACAAAAATCAAGTTTCCCAATGGAGCACATCGAAGTAAACAAGAAATAATTTAGACTTCAAAGTAATAGATAATACTTGATAAGACGAGCATTACCTGTGGAGGCTTTTTGTTTAGCCGCAAGCCCACTGCCTCAAGTTCCTTAGTCAGGATTTGCCTATGGCCTTCACTCTAACAATTTTTGAAGAACAAATAATAAGATTAATAAATGATAAGCATCACACCCAAATAGATATTCACATAGACAGCCAAACCGTAACTCACCTTTGAGGCATCAAGAACCATCAATACAAGGTCAGAAGACTTTGCAACAGCAATAACCTGAGAAATAAGCAGTCATAATTAAAGTTTTTATCATCCTGATTATATTTTTCTGACTGACGAGAAACATAAGAATCGGTCATAAAACTTTAGCTTGAGCACCCAAAATGAAATCAGATAACCAAAAAGAAAAGCAAGCGATTGGATTTCAACCTGCCGTCCTCGCCCCTTTCCTTCCGAAGCACCTTCAATAATCCCAGGAAGATCGAGCAGCTGAATCTTTGTGTCATTGTAGTGAATTACTCCAGGGATGCATGTAAGTGTTGTAAATTCATATGAGGCTGCTTCAGAATGAGTTCCAGTTAACATAGTCAAAAGCGTGGACTTTCCGACACTGCAAAGTACAACCACTTCCATCAGTTTCCCCAAACCCAAGCCTGCAATTTTCTAAGGAGCTTTGTAAATGGATCTTTGTGAGTATATTAAAGTATCTAAGCCATTCGACCTTGGAAACCCTATTAGTGCAACACGTCCATGACCATACTTGGTAACTTCAAAACCTTCCCCGCCTCCACTAGCACCCTGTTAAAGGAATTCAAAAGACAATTGCAAACTAGAATCAGTAATGAGAAAAGTTCTGAAACTCTACTTCAGGCACAAGCAGCATACATTTGGGCATTTGGTCACAAAGCAGGAAATACCTCAGCAGATTATAGCCCTAGATAGATAAGCTAAAGTGACGAATAAAGCAGTTACTCACAGTCTATTTCAGTCGTAACACTACAGCAACAGCAAGGAAAACTATAACAATGACCCAAGTAAGAAAGGAAACAAACAAGCTTCAAGAACCACTCAGCTATATAGAAAATAAATGCATAGGATAATGTTTTAGTGTTTTATTAATAGCTTGCATTACTTTTGGAGGCTCGAGTAGTTGTGTCCTGAGCTTTGCAATCTTTGCCTTGAGCTGACCAAGATGATACTCTGTCCATCAAGTAGACCATTATCAATTAGCTGACAGTTATTCTGCTTACTTTATGCAAATATCAGATCGGGAAAGGAGAACAGAAGCAACAATAGAAACTTGTCAAAGTAGTTATCTTGAAAATCGACTGAATTTTCTATACAATTCCATATTATGTAAAGAGAACCTGTTCCTTATCGATTCAGCAATCTGTTCATCGTAAATACTACACAAGGGTAATATTCCCTGTTATTATGTTATCTAATATCGTCTTCGAAAGATGAAAAACATGAAACTGATATGTCTCTCACACCTATAACTTCATGTTCTATATTATGTAAAGAGAACCTGTAGCTTTATTCTTCTGTGTTCGAGCCATCTCGGCCTCGATTTCTTTAATCCTTTCGATGATCCCCATTGTACTTCAGTTGTTTCTGCTACTCTCACTGGAGAGAGTAAAAGACAAAGAATCAGGAACGACACAGAAAATTCGCTTTAGCTCAAAAAGAAAACTTGAGATTGGATAAATAAAGCTTTAGAGTTAATATTTCGCTTGAATTAGCATATGCATCAAAAGAAATCAACCCTGTAAAAAATTCGCAATGAAATTTTCGCGAAATCCCAGCTCTTTTACGCCTAATTGTCTAAACTAAGCACAAAATCATAAGTCAAAACAAAACTCAATGCAGGATTCATATAAAGATATGAGATTTCACTATACATAAGTTGCTAAATCGAAGCCTATGCATGAACAAGTTGGAAGATTTGATGTGCGACTCACAGTGAAATTGGTGAAGGCGATCTCCGTACA